GGCTTAGGGGACCGGGCTGGGGGAGGGGTCGGGGCCGGGAAGCAGCTCTTTGTCTCCCCGAGCCCGTTCGCGGGCAACGAGGCCACTCTTTTTCTCCCTGCAGGTGCCTGGGGAACCTGGGGAAGGACTCTGGTGAATCCCATTCGGTGTGCACTCGGAGGACCCTGAATCTGGAAGCCCCTGTTTGGGGGACTGGTCATTTGGGTCTCCGAGAGGCGAGGGGTAAGGGCATGGATGTTGTTCTTGTAAGAAGGCCGAGGCTTGGGCGTGGGTGGGGCGGGGGAAACAGGAACAGGGCGCCTCAGGTTTGGGAGATGAAGGTGGCAGTGGGACTTGAGGACAACACTGAGCGGCCGGGTTGGTGAGCGGGTGTGGGTGGTTGAAAGGAAAGCAAATTGAGGCTCTTGAGGCTGAGGTTTAGGCACCCATCGGTGGCGATCCTGGAGGATGCCCGGGGAGGCGCCAGGATGGTTTAAAGTGGGTGGTTCAGGACCTGGGATGTTGATCCTTCTGTCTTCCTCATCAGGTGCGATATGGACAAGAGAGATAGGGTCAAGGCAGGAGCCACCCCGCGGATGCCAGCTTCACGACCTCCTGGCCTTCTGAGCCCTAGGCCTCCTCCAGGATCCCCACGACCTCTTCCCCCTGTAACCACCGCTGCCCTTAAAGTGCTGGAAGCAAACGGAGCTATGGGGAGAAGGCCCTTGGTGGAGCGAGCCGCGGGTGTCGGCAAAGCGGCTCTTCCACAGACCGCTGTTCAAGGGGCACAAGCGCGCAGCGCTGGGGCAGGTCCTCGAAGCCCAGGTACTCAGCTTCATTTGTGACTTCCATCTTCACACCGCTCACCTTCCCTCTTCCTTCTCGGATACTCCCCCCTTTCAGAAATACCATTGATTTTGTCTTCTCCCTGAAGCTTCCAGGCCCCCAGCTTCTGGGAAAGGAGAGAGGGCCCCTGTGAAGATCTCTGGCCAGGGTTCTATTTCTAGCCCTGGGCGTGCCAGCAGTGGGATCACCAGGTATCATGCTAATTCCCCTAACTCCTTAATTCCCCAAGCAAGGGTTAGTTTAGCAATCTGGTACCTTTTGATATTACACAAGAATGGGCTGGGAAGGTGGCTCAGTGTGGTAAGGTGCTTGTTGCACAAATATGAGGACCTGAGTTTGAAACTCTAGCACCCATGGAAAAGCCTGTCTCGGTGGGTGTTGCACCGTTGTAACCTCAGCCCTGGATGGGAATGGGAGGTGGGGAGAGGTGTGTTCCTGGTGCTCGACAGAGGAGGTGTCAAGCTGCAGCTTCAGGGAGAGATCCTATCCCCCCAAATTTCCGGGTGTGGTGGCACTTGCTGTTAATACCACCCCCTCAGAAGCCAGAAGCATATGGACCGCTGTGAGAATGCAGAATGCAAAATAAGGCATAGAAACAAGCTAGACGCCAGTGTTTACCTCTGATATCCACATGTGTGTGCATGGGTGAGCACTACGGTACACACAGGTGCACACACATACACGGAAATATTTCACACAGGTTAGCTCAGGAACACTTGCAGATAATGGGTCAAATTGGGCAAAAGCCATCATTAGTTGGGCTACAGAAGGCAAGCAACTCCATTTCACAGGTAGGGAAATGTGTAATTGGGAATACCAACAATGGTTGGTACTCCTCTTGTTCCCAGACCAGGCCCTGTTGTCCAGAAAGGACTCCAACCCCCGACTAAGGAACCTGTGATCAGAGGTAAAGCGCCAGAGGCACCCAAAAGGAATACTCTGAGCTCTGGAACACGAAGAGGTATGTGACCTGGAGACAAGCAGCTTTCTATCAGTCTTTGAGGGCAACCAGCCTCCGGTGCCATGTTTCTTTTGGATTTTTGTTTTGTCTGTAGATTCCTTAGGGCCCACGTCAGGAGCCTCCTCTCCTGCCATCCCTCGTCGGTCCAAGGCCCCAGCTACAGAGGTGGGAATTCCTAGATCAGTTCCCACTGCCCGGCAGCGTCCCCCGACCACCGAGGCACCCAGGAAATCTGTGAGCAGTGCTGCAGAACCCAGTGCCACAGAGCTGAGCCCAGCCTTCAGGAGGCGCTCTGCCGCTGGTGGCAGCCTGCAGAAGCCGGCCTCCCGTTCCCTGAGCTCCAGTGCTACCCCTCAGCTCTCCCCAGCTCGCTCTGGGGTCTCTCCGCGTGTAACTCCCCGGGGTCCTGTGCACACCTCGCAGCTCAAGTCGAAAGGGCAGCAAGCTCTGCGCCCACCCCAGACCATAGTCCCGAGGAAGGACAGAACCTCTGCACAGAGCCTGCCTTCTGCTTCATCTTTAGTCACGCCCACCGCTCCACCTGGAGCCACCACAACTCAGGCTTCCTCCGCCCAGGTCCCAGAGGATCCATTGAAGGCCACGCTCCCTCCCTCTCCACCTGCCACCCCGCCTCTACCTGCTTCACTTCAACTCCAGGCACAGCCCTCTACCCATGCCACAGCCGATTCACAGGCCACAGACTGCCCTCCATCACCTCCCCAACTTTCTCTGCAGAACCTCCCTTCTCCACCAGCCACGCCCCCTTTGCAAGTTCCACCCACAAGTTTGGGTACTGAAGAGGCCTCTGACTCACCCCCACCAATCTCTCCATCCCTTTCATCCCTTACGCTGAGAATGCCCTGCAACCAGGTTTCTTCAGCTTCACTCCCTCAGGAGACTCCCTTGGCCACGCCTTTCTCACCTGCGCCTCTACCTCTAGCCACGCCTCCTCCACAAGTCCCTCCTTCTCCGCCAGTTTCTCCACAGAATCTGCCTACTCCCCTTGTCGCACCCTCTCCGTCGACTCTGTCCACGCTAACGGCTCCCCCTTCCCCGGCCAACTTTTCTGTCTCTCCACCCCTTCTCCAGGCCACGCCCTCTAATCTAACCACGCCCTCTTCGCAAGACACTCTGCTTCTGGCCATTGCTCCTCCAGTTTCTTCCTCTCCCCCCTCCTCACCACCTCTGCATGTCCCTCCCTCTTCCGTGGTCACGCCTCCTCTGAGCCTCCCACCATCTCTGATTCTGCCCACTTCACAGGCCTCTTTGTTGACCTCCACACCCTCCCTGGCCTCATCGCCCCAGCAGATCACGCCTCCTCCTTTGGCCTCGTCCGCGCTCTCGGCCCCACTCTCTCTGGGCTCGCCCCCTCTGCAGGCCTCGCCTTCTTTCCTGCCGACACCCCCTATGCAGGCACACTCTCCACCCTCGCCTCCTTTGCAGGCGCCTTCTCTTGCTACATACCCTTTGCCTCTCGCCTCGTCCCCGACCTCACCCCCTCTGCCAGCTCTTCTCTCCCCTCCTGCCTCACCTCCTCTGGAGGACCCTCTTTCTCCCTCACCCTCACCCTCACCCTCACCTTTGTCTCCCTTGGCAACTCCCCCACCAGAAGCCCCACCTTCGCCGGATTCACCCACTCCTCTGACTTCACCCCCTCCGCAGGCCCTGTCCTCTCTGGCTGTGTCCGCTCTGCAGGCTCCCACCCCCCCCCCGG